AACTTGAATAGATAGGGATGTCAAAAGGGCCAAGCCACTCGTCGGCTTGTCAAAATAGGGCTCGTAAAATCAGGTGGCTCGTTCAAACGACGAGCCACGAGTCACTCGGCTCGTGGCTCGCAAAGGACCGTTTGGTCATTGAATTCAGTGACCGGAGACCGTTTTGGTCACTGAATTTTTTTTCCCCTTCTACTATAAATACTCTTTAACCCTCCCCCCTCCCTTTATTTTTTTTTATATTAATTACTCAATCACTACTCCAACTCTCTCAACTTTCTTTTATTATATCAATTATCGAGTTTTTACTCTCTTGTGCTGTAAAATATACAATATCAATTCAATTTTTCCAGTTTATTAGTTACAATTTCAATTCATCCAATTCTCAAATTTCACAATCTCACTACATTTATATTTATCTAGTCAATATTTCATCATAAACAATCACAGAAATGGATCAACGTTCATTTGTTGAGAGCTTGTTCGATACAGGATGTGAGCCATTGCCACATCATGTAGAATCGCCTAGTACGCCGCAAAGTCAATTTTCAAATGAATTTGCCGGTCTAAATGACATACCGATACCTAAAGATATTCATATTCACGGTCAAGGAAGCCACAATCCAATTGATTTGGATGATATTAACGTACCCGAAGTTGAACATGAAGATGAAGATTAGCAATTAAATATCCCAGATGCGAGGGGAAAGCGAAAAGCCAAAAAACAAGCAAAATGTTGGGATCACTTTAAGTTGATTTCAACGGGAAAAGTCATTGATGGCCTTGCAGAATCTAAAGCGGTATGTAAATACTGCCAACAAAGATTGGCATAGCAAAAAGGAATTGGTACCACTCATCTCAACTGCCACTACAAATCATGTGCAGCCAGACATTGACTTCTTCCAGCTGGTCAAACACAATTACAATTTGGTAGTCCAGGCGTCGGTTCTACAACTTCACCCCTATCCACGTGGGTGTATTCGGAGGACAAGACTCGAACTGGAATGGTGAAATTTGTTGCCGCCACTGAGTTGCCTCTGGCTATTGCAGACAACCAACACTTCGTCTCGTTCGGAAAGAATATCTACAACCGAGGTACATTGGGTAAGTCAAAACACTCTTTGTGCTGATACAATAAATTATTTCAATAATTCAAAACAACAATTAATTATGGATTTGCAACAATATGGGGGTGTTATATCCTTAACTTCTGATATATGGGATGGGGTTAATAAAAGAGCATATATAGCTGCAACTGCACACTATATAGACCCACTTTGGTGCATGCAT